CAAATTCCAATATAAGTAAGCAAAAGAAGTACTAATTTTGATTACGATCTTACATAGGTGTGTTTTTATCCTCACTCCACTTTTTGGAAAAATTATGTATTTTGGAACAAATCCTAGCTTCCATATTTCAATTTCATGGAAAGCGGTTTCCGAAAATTTAATTTCCAAAATTTGCTTTTGGCGCACTGTGTAATGTGACCATTGACAGACATTTTGTTCCACCTGTTTTAATTTCGTCATTTGGGTTTATAAGCGGGATATACTCACATTTTCGTGTTTATCCCGTACAATTGAAATGAATTCTCCGCCATCTGCGTTCAGAATAGTTCTTTGGTGGAAACACAAGGACAAAGAAGTAACGTTGGTTTGAGAGATGTTAATTTGGGCATCTTTTATGTTCGGAAATTCTGTTGAGCGTTAGAATTAGATCGGATTGGATAGAAGACTGAATTCTTACCTTCCCAACGTACATCTACGACAGGATAAAATGGTAGTTCTTGAGTGGTACTTACGTTCCAGTCATTTATAACCCATTGGGTTAATTTACTGAGGCTTCTTTTACTATCTATGAGTGGATTATCTACTGATGAGTTTGATGATATGTACAAAGCTGAATAAACACTTTCTTCTGTTAAAACACATGTAATACTTTGATTTTTGATTAGGGTAACTACATCGGTGGACGCTCGCGTTACCAAAATCCAGAATACAGAAATGTGAAGATTCAAATACATCCTCATGGTGCAAGTTTTTACTTTTCATCGTACGTTATCGGAAAAAATGTTATAATCGAGAATAATCTTTGTGAATAAATATTACTCCTAGAAGATTATTTATTTAATCATGAATCAATTTCGGCATGTTTATAGCAAAACATTTATTTAACATATGTAAGCAAAAATCCCAACATGACGTCATCAAAATTGTTGTAGATCGATCACGTGCTATTCTTTTTCTGGAATTCTTTCAAAGAAACAGTTGAGGCTCCCAAGGTTCTTTTAATTTCTCAAAAAAATATTCTCAAGTACTACAACAATCGTGTAAATTCTAACATTGGTTCATTACAATTAATTTTTTGTTAAAAATAATGGCTTTTAGCTCTTGGTCGTAGAAACAGTGGTGTATGTACGCCTCGAGAGGGAAGTACTATTGCCGCCGGTGCACGTATGGGAAAATCTCTTCCTCGACGTTAATGACCCCAAGTGTACCGTCTGTCTGTTTATGAATCCGTGTTCTAGACTACTTCTTTCTACTAAATGGTACTCAAATGGGTTTCTGTCTATTTTCAAATGATGTCCCCATACTTAGATAGAATTTGAGTATTGTGATATATCCCATGTAATAATAATAATAATAATAATAATAACGTCTTTATTTATTTATCCAAGGTGGCGAAGTTTAGCCACAAGCTATTCCACCACTTAACCACCCAACAATACATACATTTTTTAAACAAAGCCAAATTATAGCAGTTTGCTGCTTGGTCAATGCTATTATACAAGGTGATGGCATTGTAAGAATAACTCCTGCAAAACATGGATGTAGAATGTTTAGGTAACAAAAATAACTTACGCCTTGGGTTGCTTCTAGTGGACAAAGGTTTGAATAATTTAACCAAATCAATAGGTCTACGACTAATCCGACAACGATATGTTAAGCTAAGCAGGTGGTAGGAGGCAGTGTTTCCAACATTTAACCTATTAATAAGTTCTTTAAATCTAGAAGATATGTGGTCGTATTTTCTAAGTTTAAACACATAACGACAACAAGCATTTTGCAATTTTTGTATTCCATTTTTATGCATCTGATCAAGGCAAGTGTAAAATACCGTAATTCCATAAGAAAGAATGCTAAGTACAAGAGATTCACATAAATTTTTCCTAGTTTTAAAATTGAGTATGAACCTAGACGAATATAACACTTTTAAGCGACTAAACGTATGACGTAGAATATGGCTTACATGTAATTTAAATCTCATACATTCATCGAGATGAATGCCCAGTATTTTTACACTTTCCTTCCATGGAATAGTCTCATTATTTATGGTGATATTTATATTATTTTTTAATTGGTTTCGATCCTTGACCGATTCATATACAGCTACTAAATCTGAAATTAACAATGCAATCGTATTGGTTTCCTCCGATTTAAATTTATAAATTAAAGAGATGTCATCAGCATAAGAAAACATACCACAATTCCTGACAACATTGGCTATATCAGCAATAAAGATAGTGAACAGAAGTGGCCCCAGGACATTTCCTTGAGGTACACCTGAGGTTACTGCCACAACGTCCGAAAACTTACTACCTATCACCACTTTTTGTCCACGATCACATAGATATGACTTAATTAAACTTACAGACGAATTACACAAACCATAACATGAAAGCTTTGCAAGTAGTAGTTCGTGAGTTATTTTATCGAAAGCTTTGGAATAGTCCAGTGTCACAAGAATTGACGACAACTTCTGGTCTAGATTACGGATTAAAGTATCAGTTAAATGTAGCAAAGCAGTGGTGGTACTGTGATTCTGTCTGAAACCGAACTGATGATTTGGTATAATTTCATTTTCTTCACTATATTTGCGTAACTGTTGCACAAGAACGTGTTCGAAAATTTTAGAAAAAGTAGGCAACAAACTAATTGGACGTAAGTCGCTGGGAGATTCAGGTGATGATACTTTTGGCAGAGATCTAATTAAAGCCGTTTTCCAAGCAGTAGGAAAGTAATCAGCTTCGATGCAGCAATTAATTAAATGAGTAATGTGAGGAAGTATCACAGAGCTGCACAACTGTATCATTTCTAACGAAATTTGATCCAACCCTAAGGCATTAGATTTTAGAGAACGAATAATTAAAGCAACTTCTTCAATTGTTGAAAACTGGAAAGTGAAAACTAAATTGTCTTTGAATTTTTGAGAAGAATAAAATTCAGTCATGTTAGGATTAGGAGACACATTCTGAAAAACAGATGCAAAAAAATTGTTAATTGTATCATGATTATTTAAGTGAGATGGAATTTCAAGATACCTGGTCCTAGTAATGCGTAAGGCATTTAAATATTTCCAAAATTGTCGACTGTTGTTTTGACCGCACATATTAACCAATTAAGCCTTTTTCTCTCTTCTGAGAGATGCGAGCGCAAAGTTTCCTAAATTTTTATATTTGTTCCAATTCTCAGGGGTTTCATGTTTTTTATAGTTACTATAAGCTAGGTTTCTTTCACGAAAAATTAGCTTTAACACATCAGTCAACCACGGAGCTTTAGGTTTGGTGATTCTTATGGTACGCAAAGGAGCATGGATGTCGAATAATAGTAAAATGTTTGTTGTCAAAAATTCCAACTTTTCATCTATAGTAGGAAAGTAGAAGACTTTATCCTAAGGTATACTTGACAAGTCTAACTGAAAGCGATCATTATTTATTTGCTTTAAATTTCGTAATGTAATATATTTTGGTTTTCGTATCGGCGAACAAATTTTTAATTCAGCCAATACCAGTCTGTGGTCTGATATGGCGTCTGCATTTTTCGTACCTTTGTTCAAGACTAAATCCGGTTTGTTCAAAAAAATATGGTCAACCAAAGTCGCTGATGTAGCAGTGACTCTAGTAGCTTCATTGATAATTTGTAACATGTCAAAATTAGACATAGAGTCAGTTAGCACATTAGTAATATTTAATAGGTCAATGTTAAGATCACCTACGATTGCAACTATATCGTACTCTGGTATTGCTTGGGACAAAATATCTTCTACTAAGTTAATAGTATTCATTGAATTACCTTCCGGTCTGTAAATCACTCCTATAAAAATACTTGTATTATTAACCTTACATTTAAGCCACATATGTTCCATACAATCATTATGATCAACGTCAAATTTAACAGTATCACAATTTATATTATTTCTTACATAAAAACCTACTCCACGTCCACTTCGCTCTGTCCATACGAAATAAGTTGTAACCATTCAGACTTATGTCAGCAGAAGCAATCTTATTTGAAAGCCATGTTTCGCTAATCCCAATCAATCCAAGTTATCTGCGTTAATCAAGTCACAAAAATCGACAAAACTAGCTGTAAGTGACCGAACATTTAAATGTGCCATTTTAAATTTTTTTTGAACTTTATGAACCATAGTCAATCTTATTTTGTAAATATTTAACTTTATTTCGGTACACAAAACATTTAGCTTCATCTGCGCAAACATGATTTACGTCTATATTGGAAGATTTGTTTCGTTCGTGGTACTCAAGACAATTGATACATTTTTGATGATGTAACTGATACTCCTTAGAGTTATGATCTCCAGTACACTTGGCGCAAACTAATTTGTTCTCAGTACAGTTACTTGCCTTATTACCAAATCTGGAACATTTGTAGCAACGTGTAATCTGCAAATGATCGGTACAAGAGCATAAGCTCCACCCCACGGATATTTTACCACCTAAATTTCTAAATATTTTTTGGCGCAAATTATTAGTAACTTCTATTACAAAGTTATAAGTATATTCCGACTTGAATCTTTTATAAGTTTTAAATGATCATCCTTCTGCGTCCCGACCCACCACGGAGTCCCAAAAGAGAACGTCGAATTTCGACGCCAGGGCTAGCAGAAGGATATAGCCCCCAGGGAAGCTCATCCTGCAGTATGCAGCCTTAACAAATGAGATGGGTTAGTTTCGACCTCCCGTTTTGGTGGAAATCCAGGCCAAAGAGGCGCGTTGCCCAGCCTTGATGACCAATAATGTCCTTAGAGCACTACAAAAAGTTCTAAAGATTCTTTTACTATGGGACATGAGGGCATGCCCAGTTTCTTTTTAAAGGACTGTGTTTATGTTTTTATTAAACCTTTCTGAGCAAATTGCGAGAAAATATGATCGAAAAACGTCGTGGAAAAATCTTAAAAGGTGACTCTTTCCCAAACTGAAAAAACACTTGAAAGTAAAGAGATACTAGTCAAATGAAGACGTGATCGAGACCGTAGAGCAACGGTTTGCAGACCAGGATAAAGAATTTTATTAGGATTGGAATTACATTATGACCTTTGTATTAAATGTATAAATTTAAAACACGTTTACATTGAATAAATAAATTTGGTTTCATGGTACGGTTTCTCCTTCGATGGTAGGCTAAGAATTTATTAATACGTCAATCGTAGGAATACAATTAAATCTAGTCACAATTAATATGTACATGGAATGTAATGCTAGCCCTTATTTTTGTTTAAATTTTCCTCCTCATCTGGTAACAACTATAACACAGTACTATTCTGGTATGTCCAGGCGTCGTTTCCGTATAAAGATAATAAAGGTATTACTTCGACTTTTGGACTACTCGCTTTATTCTTTTTTCCACAAAAGTAGAGAAATACGGGTACCAACACAACGTATAAGAAAAATACACCAAGAGCAGTGAGGAGTCCAAATAGCCAGTAATTCTTAAGTATGCTTGATATAACAATGATACCTATGTACCAAATTTTTCTTGATGTGGGGGTCATTACTAACTCAGGTACTCCTTCTTCATAGTGTTCGTTTCCTACGAACAACAACACCCGAATTTTGTAACCGAAAGAACTCGTTGGGATTATCACTCTTCTGTTTAAGAGGGGTTTTTGGAAGGGTTCTAGATCAGAAAAATTTTCGAAAGTACCGGGGGTACCGTTACTCTGAAATCAGAGCGATTAATAAAAAATCGTTAAGAAAAAGACCATTACTTCTTTGTATTGAATTTGGTAAAAGTCTGGTTCTTTTTCGTCTTCACCATACGTCAAGTCAAACGAAATTTCAGCAAAATTTGTCTTGGCGGAAACTAACGTAGGAGGTTTTAGTACAACTGGTAGTTTTTCGGCGCATTGTCTTCCAGTAAATTTCTTTGTACATTTAAAACAACCCACTGTGTTGTTGTAACTCTCACAACTCTCAGAATTTATAGTTGACGCACAGTCACGGCCCCAGTACTTGTCAGTACAACCTAAAAATAAACTCAGGAGTAATTTTGAACTCTTCTTAAAATTAAACCAACTTTGGTTACATGTCGTTCCTTTAAACCCCCATGAACACTCACAAGTTCCATTGTCCAAACAAATCTTATATCCTTCACAAAACGGGTACGACTGTCCTAAAACTTGGTCACATTTGGCTATACATTTGTGACCTAAAAGTCCAGGTTGTTCGCAGAAAGTACTACTACTGGAAGGAGCTAGTGTTTTGCACAAGTACGAAGAATTTTCACTATTTACCGTCAAATTGTATACATCTAAAATATAAATTAACTATGTATAGAAGCTCCAGAATTGTTTTGTTACCCGTGGAAGGTCTACAGATGTGCACTTTATCGATTGCCCAGAAACCTTCCCTTTTATTGTCACTTCTAGAACGATTGAAATTGAGCTTTCCAGTACCGTTGTAACTACTAGTGCGAATTTCAATTCGCTTCCAAGATTTTGGTTCATTTTCTAAATTAAAGCCGTCCACTCTTACCGATTGGGGGGTGGTACCTGATTCTAGTACTACATATAGATAGCAGTTTTCATCCACAGACACAAACAAAGAAATACAAAGATCGGTGGAATTTGATAGATTGCTAATATCCAGAAAACTGCTCACATTGTTAAGAGTAGTTAGACGGGAGTACTGGAAATCGTCTACAAATTCCAATATAAGTAAGTAAGAGCAGTACTAATTTTGATTACGTTTTTACATTGGTGTTTTTTTATCCTCACTCCACTTTTTGGAAAAACTAAGTATTTTGGATTAAATCCTAGCTTCCATACTTCCATTTCATGGAAAGCGGTTTCGGAAAATTTGATTTCCAAAATTTGCTTTTGGCGCACTGTGTAATGTGACCATTGACAGACATTTTGTTCAACCTGATTTAATTTCGTCATTTGGGTTTATAGTCCGGATTATACTCACATTTTCGTGTTTATTCGATATAGTTGGAAATTCTCTGCCATAAGAATCGTCTCCTGCTTTTAGAAAAATTCTTTTGTCGAAACACAACGAAAAAGATGTAACACTGATTTGGGTGACGTTAATTTGGGCATTTTCTATGTTCGGAAATTCTGTTGAGCGTTAGAATTAGATCGTGTTGGATAGAAAACTGAATTCTTACCTTCCCAGCGTACGTCTACGACAGGATAAAATGGTAGTTCTTGGGTGGTACTTACGTTCCAGTCGTTTCTAACCCATTGGGTTAATTCAGTGAGAGTTCTTTTGCTATCCAAGAGTGGATTATCTGATGAGTTTGGTGATATGTACAAAGCTGAATAAACACTTTCTTCTGTTAAAACACACATAATATTTTGATTTTTGATTAGGGTAACTACATCGGTGGACGCTCGCGTTACCAAAATCCAGAATATAGAAATGTGAAGATTCAAATACATCGTCATGGAGCAAGTTTTTACTTTTCATCGTCCGTTCTCGGAAAAAATGTTATTATCGAGAATAATCTTAGCGAATAAATATTAGAGGATTGTTTATTTAATCATGTATCAATCTCGGCATGTTTTGTAGCAAAACATTGATAATGTGTAAGCAAAAATCCCTACATGACGGTATCAAAATTTTCGTGGGGATAAATGGATAATGATTGTAGATCGATCACGCTCATGATCATTTCAAAACACGTGCTAAATTTCAGAGCGATTTAAAGTATTAAATTTTTCGTTCTCCCGAATTCTTAAAAAAAAAACAGCAGGGGCTTTCAAGGTTCTTTTAATTTCTCAAAAAAAAAAAGATATTCCCAAGGACTCCAACAATCTTTTTTATTATGAGGTACACTTCCAAACTTCCTTAAATTTTTAAATCTGTAGTTCGGGTTCATGTCTTTTAGCTCTTGGTCATGGAAAAAATAATGTAGGATCTCTATATATCTTCTAATGACATCCCCAAATAAAATATATTTAGACAGAATTTGCGCATTTTACAGCTAAAATAACCACTAGATTCGTAAATCTTTCATAATTATTATTTATGTAGCCTAATCTTATCGTTGGCTTGGTGAATGGGGAAAAAAGTAGCCAAATTCAATATTTGCTAGTTTGTTTTTTAAGTATCTTAAGATTATATTGAACTAAGTTTCCTCAGATTTTATTCACATTCTGCTTCTCGAATATCATTTCAACAAGATTTTTTAAACATAATATACACTCAAAAAAAATTTTTAAATACAGAGTGTCCTACACAAAATTTTAGTGTTTTTGTCTACAGAGAATTAAAAACATTCGGAATTTAAAAAATTGGATTCTTATTATACAAATTTGTCTCAAGAACAAAATTCACTCAGCTTTAAAAGCATCTAACCTTCTCTAGACTATTTACAATTTTATTTAAAATGGGCTTTTTGGTGCCAATTCTTCCAATACGCGTTGGAAAGGTGAAAAAACACTCCAATATTTCCTACATTTATTTATCCAACGATAACCCCTCAACTTCACTTGACATAGTATCACTCACATCACCCCTAATGAATTTCCATACAAAAACAAATTTCATTAATATCATATTTCGAGTCTTATCGAACTAATTTTGTAATTTATCATAAATATCACTTATTTAATTCTCGTTCGTCGTCGGACTGTCGTCCGTCGCCTCGCGAGAACTCGGTATTCCGCGATGGACCATTACAAAAATAGTTTCCAAAAATACAAATTAACATCCATCTCTTAACAAATACAAGCAAAGAACCAAAAACGAACAATGCCTCATGTAACAACTAAATAACGCACGGCCCAACGTAACATTCTCCCTAGTAGTTTCATGTAAGAAAAATTTGTAAATTACGTTATATCTATCGGATATCCCTTACTTATATGTAGGTAATATTACGTTATACCCGAACGGGACGTCACGAGTTGGGCAGGTGAGCCCACTCGAGCGCCCGCACCTCATGAAATCTACAATTGTTACATTGTAACAACAACGGTTAAAAGTAAATACGTTTCGATTTCTCTAAGACTTATTTCCTAAATGGCAAATTTCAAGTGAATTCACCTCTCGGATCGACCGCTCAAACCCACAAACCGGTTGTTTTTAGACGCATTTCATGCTAAATTGTTAGTTCTCTTTTCGGTCGTACCTAACCTAAAAACTCCAAACCGGTTTCGTGGAGTCGTCGCAGCGACCTCTTCTGAGTGAGTTTTTACACATTGCACGCTCCCGACCGATTCACCTAGAATAACAGTAAGAAACTAATATCAGGGACGCCCCTGCACTGTACAAAATACAAAAAGTCGATCACGGGCCGGAGGCGGCGCCGCACGTAACCTCCAAGTTCGGGGGCGGCGCCTCCGCGAAAAAGCGTCGGAACTGAACGGCGTGCACAAAGGGGAACAAACAATCAGGTAAGGTGACTTCCCACAACAACAATTATTTACAGAACGCAACTCTGTGATCAATACCGAACGAAAACATGGAATGGACGCATGAAACACAGAAATTTACATTTTCATCGACACGCAAACTTATTCAACCTAACTCTTAGTCTAGCTCGTGAACTATCGAATCCGGGGGCGGGGCGGGGGCCGGAATCGCGGACGATGGTCCGGACTCGCCCAAACGCCGTCGAGAAAAAATCGTACGAGAGCGACCGAACCTTGCGGCGAAAGCAGGGGCGGACCGAGCCTACTTGTAGTAATGTCGTCGCTGGGGTGTAAGTGGAGGGCGGATTTTGTGGCGGCTTTTCCAACGGGTGGTTCTGTATGAAAACACCAAATTGTGAAGTTGTGCCATTTTTAAACTCTTGCATTGTGAGCTGCAATCTTTTTGCTACAACACGTATTGAAACGATTTTAATTTTTTAATTTTCATTAATAAATATAAGCACCCTATTTGAACAAGCACCAATAAATAGTGAGGTACTTAAACTTCCTTATACTATGTATGTAGGTAAGCGAAGAAAAATGTTGTTGTCTCGGTGGGAATCGAACCAGACGCCCTCCGCTTGCCGGGCAGGTATCCTGACCACTATACCACGAGGCCGCTTATCTTTCTTCGCTCACTACTACTTATGATTGTGTCGGCCCATATACTTGGTAGTCGTGAAATCACCTAAAGAACGTTTTGAGTTAACTTCCAAAAATAACATATTTTGGCGTAATTTTTATGATATATTATCGTAATTTTGTACCACTTTCTCATCATACTTTAAAATTGCGAAGATATTCAAGGTCCGACAACTTCGAGATCGTAAAAATAAGTCAAGAGTCAATAAGTAAACAACGTAAACGACTTCAGAAATGTTGACATTTTGACGTAATGTTAATAAATTTAACCTAAAAAATTATGTCAACTTAACAGGTAAGCAACTTAAGTCGGTGCAATATCTCCAACCAGAAGCTTAGATTTTTCTCAAAAATCCCCAAATCGCTTTCGCTCTCATTCATCCCACTTTCTAAACTTTTTCATGGGATGGTGGGGTATTGATAATGTTATGGGTGATTTAATTACTAATTGAAATATAAGCATGCCATCAGTAAACAGTTCTGGATTATCTTTAATTCATAACAAAACCAGAGAAATTTTGCAATTAAGCCCCGCCTGGCTCACGAGGAATAAAAAAAATCATCACAATTGAGATAGGGTGGGTGGGCGCGGCATATATTTGTTTTTGTTTCTTAATGTAAACAGTTTTTTCACAACAAGAAATTTACAACATGTTTAAAAATGGTAAATTTTTGCAGTGAAATATGGATTTTGCAATTATGCTCCGCCTCTTGATGTGACAACGAATGGAAAGTTCATCATAATTAAAATAGGAATGGGTATAAGTGGGGCTTAATTTTTGGTTTCCTTTTTACTCGATAATTATAATTTTCTTTGAACACCATTTTTTGAAAACATGTTTCAGATGGTAATTTCTTGTAGAGAAATAAGAATTTTGCAATTAAGCTCCGCCCCCTGGCTCACGACGAATAAACAAAATCATCACAATTGAGATAATTTTGCATTTTTTTTACATATAGGTAGTTTTTTTCACAACAAGAAACTTAAAACATGTTTAAAATTGTAAATTTCTTCATGGAAATATAGATTTTGCACTTAATCTTCGCCCTTCGGTGTGACGATGGATGAAAAATTCATCACAATTAAGAGAGGGTGGGTGGGCGGGCTTACATTTTGTTGTTTTGTTTTAATATGTGTAAACTTCTTTTCACAATATGGAACTTAAAACATGTTTTAAAAGAAAATTTGTGTATAGAAATATCGACTTTGCCTCATCTGTATCTACTTGGTGAATAAACTTTAAATTAAATTAAATAATTGGAAAATTCATGTTTCCTTGCAAAAACCATTTTAACCATGTTTTAAGCTTCTTGTTATGAAAAGATGGCTGTGTATATTAAGGAAAAAAGGCAAAATATAAGCCCCGCCCACCCACCCGATTTCAATTCTGATGATGATTTTTTTATTCATCGTAAGCCGAGGGGCGGAGCTTAATTTTAAAATCCTTATTTTTCTACGAGAAATTACCATGTGAAATATGTCCTTAAGCAATCGTGTTATACAAAGAAAACTAATTAAAAAAGACAATCAAAAGAGAAACTCCACCCATACGGTTTTTTACAATCCTTATAACACGTTTAGAATGTTAAATTTTTGCAGGAAATATGGATTTTGCAATTAGGCTCCGCCCCTTGATGTGACAACGAATGAAAAACTCATCACAACTGAGATTGGGACGGGTATAGGTAAGGCTTAATTTTTGGTTTCCTTTTTACTTGATGATTATAATTTTCTTTGAACACCATTTTTTGAAAACATGTTTCAGATGGTAATTTCTTGTAGAGAAATAAGAATTTTGCAATTAAGCTCCGCCCCCTGGCTCACGACGAATAAACAAAATCATCACAATTGAGATAATTTTGCATTTTTTTTTCTACATATAGGTAGTTTTTTTCACAACAAGAAACTTAAAACATTTCTAAATTGTAAATTTCTTCAGGGAAATATGGATTTTGCACTTAATCTTCGGCCTTCGGTGTGACAATGAATGAAAAATTCATCACAATTAAGATAGGGTGGGTGGGCGGGGCATATATTTTGTTTTTCTTTTTCTTAATATATGTAGTTTTTTTTACTACAAGAAACTTAAAACATGTTGAAAATGGTAAATTTTTTCAAGGAAACATGGATTTTGCACTAAATCTTCGCCCTTCGGTGTGACAATGAATGAAAAATTCATCACAATTAAGACAGGGTGGGTGGGCGGGGCATATATTTTGTTTTTCTTTTTCTTAATATAAGTAGTTTTTGTCACTACAAGAAACATGTTTAAAATGGTAAATTTTTTCAGGGAAACACGAATTTTGCACTTAATTTTCGCCCATCGGTGTGAAAATGAATGAAAAATTCATCACAATTAAGATAGGGTGGGTGGGCGGGGCTTATATTTTGTTTTTTTTTTTCCTTAATATACGTAGGGTTTTTCACAACAAGAAACTTAAAACATGTTTAAAGTGGTAAATTTTAGCACGAAAATATGGATTTTGGAATTAT